GCGCCTCCCACTACTACGACTCCTCCCCCTTCCACCGACTAATCCCCACCTTCATGATCCAAACCGGCGCTCCCTCGCCCTCCAACCCCCTTCTTCCCTCTCCTCCTCCCCCAAAAGGCGGCACCTCCATCTGGGACGTTCCTTTCGCCGACGAGATCCGACCTTCCCTGCGCCACCACGCCCGCGGTATCGTCTCCATGGCCAATAAAGGTCCCGAAACGAACGGCTCTCAATTTTTTATCCTCTTTGCCCCCGCGCCGCATCTCGATGGCCAGAATACCGTGTTTGGACATGTGATTGGGGAGGAGAGTTTGAGGGTTTTGGGGGAGATGGAGGGGTTAGAGGTGGATAGGAAGAATAGACCTAAGGAGAAAGTGGTGATTGAGAGCGTGACGGTGCATGCTAATCCGCTGGCGGGGTGATATTTTAGGATTTGATTTAGGTTTGAGACGTAGAAGGAGGGAGTGAGAGGCTAGTATGATATAATATGATATCCACCGAGCTGAGCTGGGAAGTAAAAGAACAGTAAGATGGATAAATGGATGAATAGATGGAAGTAGCGAAACCACTCCATCAAACAACGAAGCGAATGAAACGGTCTCGAATACCCCGCGGAAAATAGATACGTGCATTTCCTTTCCTTTCGCTTCGGTGCGTTACACACACATACACACACACACAAACGAATCATGCACATCACATCACATCCCATCCCATGACGAAGATAACGTGGAAGACTAGCTCGGGAAATCTAGACTAGACTAGACTAGACTAGACAGAAAGACATACCATGTGTCAGATCAGATCAGATCAGATCCAGATCAGGTCAGCGTAACACAGAAATATAGTGCTGATAGAGACTAGCCAGCTAGCCAGCTAGCCTTATAGAAATGCGAGATTTGGGAACCATAAGCGACTGATGCGGTTGCGGTTGCGGTAGCATCTAGATCGCCACACCACCCTGCACTGCATTCGATGTGTAACCATGGTTGGGGGCCAAGGAGCTGAAAGGGAAAATTACTGGGGAGACTGGAATGGAATGATTGAGATTGAGAGTGAGAGTGAGATTGAGATTGAGATACCCAAATAGATAGATTATTATAATGGAGATGGCGATGATGAATGGTCGGATTTAGAATCATTAGAATTTATCGATATTAATAGTTTCAGGTACCTACCTACCTAGGTTGTTTGCATTCTTATGAATATCGTAAGTTGAGATGCATATTTAATACGAGTAACATACCAAATAAGAAATTGCCACTATAAATTCTTATTTCACACCCAGAGAATACATATGCAATTGGATATTCGCAGATTCATAACCACCACCTAATTGAAATCAAGCAAGCTTGCAATTGAATGTTATTTGACTACCGAAACGCCTCATGACATACCTACCTAGTACACATCATAAAAATCTACGTACCACCAAACTCCTAGAGTACTTGGGGAGTATCATCCAATACACTGTCCGAATCGCACGAGTGAAAGTGACATCCCAAGCTCAAGACCATAAGATAAGAGCCTATAATATTCATCGCCACACTTTCATGCGCCCATACCCAAACCGATAACCTCGAAAATGATCGGGTTTCCTTCGACTGCTAGCCAAGCGATACCTAAAAAGTTGTCAGTTAGTAATTCAATGGCCGTATTCTCACACAAACTTACCGCTATAGACCACGAGTTTCGTGACTACCTCGACATCATATCTCACACGAGGTTTTTCTAGCCTAGAAAACATTTCTATTTCATCTAGCTCGTTCTCTTGCCCAACGGTAATCTCATCTTCTGCAGCATCATCACCCTCTAGACCCGGAGTGGATACCCCTGGGGTATACATAACATGACCTGCACCCATCATCTGTTCATAAGAGCCGACTCTGGACTGTGCTGGAGTCGGCAAATTCATGTTCCCATGAATCGATGACATTCCAGATGATACAGCGCCATCCATTGTCGGTTGCTTGGAGCCAAAATAATCTTTGGCTTCTTTCGTAGCTGTTTGACGTGGAGTCATACCCTCAAATACGTCAGTAAGACTATCTCTCCGTCTTTTCTCTCGATAAGCAAGAGTTTCGTATGCATCGGCAGCTGATTGAGGTCCAACGGATACAGCTCGGCCTCGTCCAGCATGCCGTATAGATGAGATCAAACTTGGTAAGTCGGATACAGATGGCATAACATTATCCACCTTAAGTCCTGATGGAATATTGTTATATTCTGAAGCAGGCATAAAGAATTTTCGAGGCAAGATCAAGCCCGTGTTCTCAAAGACTCGGAAAATATGTGGGAGTAATTTCAACAATGTTGGTTTCATGACTTCTCTCCAAGCAAAGATAACCAATACACCAATGAGAACTCGTAGTATCACAATTACCCAGCCCATATGATGTAGATCGAATGGTACTGTCGCTGGAACTGGAACATCCCAGGCCCAACCACCAGAAGCATAATGCCAACCTCCAAGTTCAACACCTATCATAACCGCGGCGAATGCGACACTATCATCAAAACATGGGCAATCATCAGCTGGTTCTGGGTGAACTCTTATCAGAAGAATGATGACTATGGCAATCGTCACGGGAGCCTTCCAGGTACTGCTGTGGAGATAGTTGTCAATCGTTGATCCATATACGCACTCGACGACAGAAATGAGTGCTCCTATAACACTTCCAACAATTACATCCACAAATCCATGCATGCCGCAATAAAGTCGTCCAAGCACAATAGAGAAGGCATAAGAATAGCTCACAATCTCTAAGGCCAGTTTCGTTGTAGGAAGCAGTTGACATTCTGGGGAATGAAGAGTAAAAAGAGCATATACAGCCACCGAGACTGCATTGGCGGAATGTGTCGAAGGAAATCCATATTCGAGTGCAGCAGAACCCGACATAGTGATGCGATGGAGAGGTGGGGATAGTGGTCGAGGTAGTGAGAACATGTCTTTGATGAACCCGGTTATGAAGACTCCCGTTGCCAATATATGAACCATCCTGGATTTCAATCAGCGAATGTCTGCGAGTACCCGTCAAGAAATTTGTTACCCTCTTCCCAAAGATGTATGTCCACACCAGAACAGAATTGGCAGTACAATCATGAAGAACGTATGCGTGCCAAGGTTTGCAGTGACAGCGAAATAAGTATCGAGTGCTGGACATCGCATCTTATCCTGCATCCAAGCCAAGTATGGAGTCTCCCATCGAACCAAAGGCAATAAAGCCTGTCGCATATTGTATCGCCATGGTGGAAGTTTGCGCTTGTCTGCGGGGTCGTTATCAGTATACCTTCAGTGATCAATTGTAAGGCGAACATATGAAACATTCTCAACGACTCTGGGAGAAGTGAGAGAATAAGTGGATGTAGTTTTGAGTCAACCTGGTATTGCTAAAGATATTGGATTGCGCAATCATTGTCTCAATAGCCAGATAACGAAATGTAGCAAAGGGGGCAATGCGCGCAGAAGTAATCCCATAATCACTATACTCACAGTGATTTAAACTTTTTAAGCCCGCATCAATGATCTCTGTGGGAGGGGCCGTAAGTGAAATCGATGGAGGTTGAGTATTATTATTCGATTTCTCAAGCTCTAGGCCGTCGCCATTTGGAGTCGGACACATGGATGCATTCGTTGAAGCAGCATCTATATATTGTGCCCGCTTGAGATGTGAAAAGTCTTGTCTTACAGAAAAGTAAGAGATTGAAGTAATTGGTCAGAAGAAGGAATGGAAGAGAGGGGAAAATTCCTAATCAAGGAAAGTAAAAGGAAAAGGAAAAAGAAGAAGAAGAAGAAAAATGAGCGACAGAAAAATGTGTTCTCACTCAATAATACCTAGCAATGTCTAGGTACGAGTAAGATGAGAAGAGGATTGTTTTAGGTGAAGTCTGCTACTTTAGGAAATAGGAAACACCTTTCTTTCCCTGGTAGAAAAAAGCGTTAAAAGGTTAGTAAGATTATCCTTATCATTTCCATGAAATCTTGGGGTTGAGTGGGATTTGATACACCATCAAGGATTTAACAATTGCTTGGGTGATTTGATATGATACCAGTATGATTTGAGTTGATTTGATTGATCGATTTGATCTTCCTTTGACGCCTTGGAGTAGGTAGGTAGGTGTGTATCACTGACTGCCAATTTCCTATCGCTCTTGGATTATGAGTTGATCTTTTATCGCATCGCATTGCTTGACTCTCCAGCTATCTATGGTATCCATGGATGGATTCGTGAATACCGGTATGCATCGTCAAAGCCTTCCAAGGTTTTCAAACTGAGACTTCAGCCTTTCTCAATATCGGGCGGTATGGGATTTCACGAGCCACATATTGATCAGCCACACACATCTACGTCGACCTTCACGAGCCACCTGCACACGAGGTAATCACATATCCTTCAGCCACATGCACACCTTCACAATGCCAAACACGTGCCAGAATGCACAGACCTCCAGCTATTTCTCCCATCATAATTTCCAACATTCAAAGTTTATGTCATCATACCTGCCACATACCTGCCACATTTATTTTAGGGTGGAGTGGATGAAGCTTGGAAGTTGCCAGAGCAACGGATGATCCATGCAAATGTAAATAAGTCTAACATTCGAGTAACTTCCTATCCAAAAATCCACCCGTACCCGTTCCCAAACCCAAACCCAAAATTGCTAACTTATCAACACCAGCCTGAAAGGGATCATTTTCAAGACTTTCATCCATTCTTGAAATCCATACCATTTTACACTATTCATTCCATACACTCAAGCCACAACCCATTACCATTCATCCAAACTTTATTCCATCATCACTTATTGCAATTTCAAACGTACAATAACTAGCACTTAATAGTAGCCATACCTAGCTATTAGGATTAGGGTGTCTTAGAAGGAAACGCTCTCGTCATTGGAAAGTCAATCATTGTCTCGACTCGCATTCACTTACTTCACTCGTACACCTTCGTCACAAAGCGACGCCTCAGTTCTCCAGACCAGACGACCACAAAAGCATGGCTACGCAATATCAACCAAATCAATATTCAAGGCGTGAAAGTGTAACCGAAAAATACGACGCGAGTCCAAGAAAGAAAATTACCCAACGTCGCGAACAAAGTCAAGGATCCAGTGACGGAACGGTTAGCACAATGATGAGCAATGCTTCAACGGGAAGGGAATCGGCAGCTACACATATGACAGAAGGTCCTTCATATTCGAAAAAAATTGTGGTGGTTGGTGATGGTGGATGCGGGAAGACTTGTCTTTTGATAAGTTACAGTCAAGGATATTTCCCAGAAGTATGTTGTGCTTGAAGCTCAACCTTCGTAGGTATATGGCTAATACTTTCTCAGAAATATGTTCCAACTGTATTCGAGAATTATATCACATACCCAACGCATCGGCAGACCGGCAAGACACTCGAATTGGCGTTATGGGATACTGCAGGACAAGAGGAATATGATCGTCTCCGTCCATTATCATACCCGGAGACAGATTTGTTGTTTGTTTGTTTCGCGATCGACTGCCCAAATTCCCTCGAGAATGTTATGGATAAGGTAAGATGAGAAAAGGGATTCATGTTGATCCATCCATCATACTAATTGACTCGATAGTGGTATCCCGAAGTATTACACTTTTGCCCATACACACCTCTTATCCTCGTCGGTCTGAAGTCCGACTTGAGAACGAAACGTTCTTGTATTGATCTCCTCAAAACCCAAGGTCTCACACCCGTCACCACAGAACAAGGAATGGCAGTTGCAAGAAAGATGGGAGCGCGTTATATGGAGTGCAGTAGTAAAGAAATGACTGGTGTGGAAGAAATTTTTACCGAAGCCATCAACACAGTTGTGGTCAACGATCGAAGCAACCAACAAAATACATCCTCATCTACTCCACCCGGTACATCAGGTTCGCAAGGTGTAATCATCCCGAAAAAGAAGAAGCGCAGTTGTCGATTCTTGTAATAACCCATCCTTCACCAAATCATCACCATTACGCATCCAAACAAAGTACGACATGAGCATGATATTTTGAAACGACATACGAACTGCATAACATAACGAGGAGTGTATAATTGTGAAAATCTGCAACTATTGGGCAGATTTTAGGAAATTGAGCATTGCATCAAATAGCATTGTGACATGGACATTAGCCTTTTTATTCTTTTCCTACTTCTTTTTTCATCGCACTCTCATACCGCTGGACTGGACTGGACTTTCTCCGGTAATCTTTTTATTTTAGGCTTCTTTGATCTGCGTGGGTTTTTGGACTTTCTTGTGAATCAGTTAGGGAATTGAGGGAACTGTGAACACAACAAACTGATTATGGGCGAGCGTATCGTATCGACTCTTTCTTATGTACAACGAAACTTTGTGGGTAGACAATGCATATCATACTCTTAACGTATACATAATTTATTGATTTTCGAGCTTATTTTATTGTAGAAGTTACGAACTCCTTCGTTTTGGTGAGATATGTGAAAATCGTGAGAAATCTAGTAGAATGAAACGTAACAAAGGGTATCAATCATACTCCAGTCCAGAACTCCTCTTGCCATGTCATCTTTATCATGATATGTGCAGTCCATAGGCCCGATCCAATTCGGCACATCCAAACCTTCCCTTCCCTTCCTCTCAACTCGTAGACTTAAACCCGTGTATCATCCTCCATAATCGTTTCTTCTCCCTCGTGCTCTTCGCGTTTACTGCTGCTGTGGTGTTGATGTTGTTGTTGTTGCTGTACTTCTTCTTCGGGCGGGGATTCAGAGGAGGGATCTTTGGCCATGACGTTTTCGAATTGGGACCAGAGGGCTTCGACGGAAGAGAATTCATTGCCGACCTATTGGGGGGAGGGGGGGAGAGTTAGTGGGGGTTGGGAGAGGATGGGGGAGAGGGGGATAACATACAGCAATTACACCTTCTAGAGATCGATTCAGTTTATTGATACTGGAGAGGACGTGTTCGAATGACTAGATGGGGGAGGGGAGGGAGGGTTAGTGAGTTCGTTTTTTTTTTGTTTTTGTTTTTTGTTTTTGAAGGGGGTTTAAACATTTTGAGTGCTTGATTGGGGCGGGGGAGGAAAGGTGAAAGGGGCAAGGGAATTGAGAGGTGGGAATGAGAGGGGGAGGGGGAGGGGGAGAGGAAGAAAACATACAATAGCTATTTCTCCTAGTAAAATCTCGCGCTGCTGTTCGAAATATGATTTTTCGGGAGGAGTTGAGGAGCGGGGGAATCGATTGGTTGAGGAGGACATTTTTGGGTTGGGGGGATGGGATGGGATGGTGATATGGATATGGATATGGATAATACTCGTACCTACGAGGTAGTATGTAGGTAGTTTATCGTTTGCGCGCGGATTACCTAGTGTATTTTTGGTGGGGTGTGTGAGGGTGTGTGAGGATTATGGGGTGGGGTGCGGATAGGGAGGTCGCGTCGCTACAAAGGTATTTATTTACAGGAGAAACGGAGAGTAAAATTGATATAATTCCCTTATAAGTTTGACTAGCCGTAGGGGAAAAAGAATTTTCAGACTACGGATTCGTAGAATTTCTTTTTTCTTTTTAATTATTATAATAATTTTGAAACTGTGTGAACAAGGGAATTCACTTCAAAAGAATGACTTCAATATAATGGCTACTGTATCAAAGGTATTTAGGCAAATGCGAAGGAGACTAGCTCTTTCAGTAGTGTTTATATAAGGCCTACTACTTCCTCTTATTAGCTAGCTCTTTAGACAGAATATAATATAGATATTTAGGGGCCTACTATTGATAGTGGGAATCATGTCTTCTGTATTCCTGATCTCATTATTGAATCAATATTAATTAGTAATATTTGTTAAAAGGAATAGAAGTTACCGGTGCTAAGCACGTGTAGTGATTAGTAATACAGCTATCTAAACGGGCTAGATTAGATGAACCATAGACAGGCATATTGATCCCCTTATATAATACTATGGGGAGATCAATATGCTTATATGTGTTATTATATAGTTAATATAGAGGTCTCTTCCACCTAATCTTCGAATAGGTTATGAGATCCGATTAGTATAGCCTTTGGATAGAATTGATGTGATCAATATTATATTCAGCTTGTGGAGCTGAAGAGTATACAGTACTATTTTATATTTAGCTTGTGGAATTGAAGAGTGTGTAGTATTACCTTACGATTAGTATATGATACTATAATCAATTACCACTACTAATTCGTGGAGTTAAAAAGTATATGGTGCTATCTATACTTATATATTTATAATTACAAATCTGTATAGTATTGTTTATACAAAAAAAGAAAAAAAAAAGAAAAAAAAAAAAAGGAAAAACTTTGTAAATTCTCTGTATAAATATCAAAATGGATGATATCAAAAAGCAAGCCAAATATATTCCAATTTTTATTTAAAAGATTTACAAGAGATGGTTTTAATAAATGAAAATATAATTGAAAGAAAAGAATTGATTTTATATAATTGAATTTATACTTCAGAATCATATAAGGATTAAAAAACTTGAAATGGAGATTGATGGTATTGAGATCTTCTCGATTATTGAAAGTGCTACAATAATATATATTAGACTTAATATTGAGAAGAAAATTGTATATTTAAAGAACAAAGCTAATATACTTTTATATATATACAAATCGCTTAATGATAACAATAAAACATTAGCTAACAAATATAATACAATATATATATTATAGAATTATCTGAAATCCAAATACTCAAGAACAAATAATATTATAGTAAACTTATATTTAATAATAATCTAGATATTTATCTTCAAACTTTCAAATTAATTAGAGATAACTATTATTGAAGCCTAGAATAAGCTTAAGGAATATCGATATAAGCTTAATATAGTTAATCCTGTATTCAAAGATTTATATAAAGATCAAGTTTTCTTTTTAATTTTTATAAAAAGTTTACTAATTGATTATTAAATAATAATTGATACTATAAGCATTCAAAGTATATTAACAATCAAAAACAAAATCAAATATTTTATAGTTAAAGAATTTAGTATCAAAAAGACAGAACAAGCTTATATCGCTAGTGGAAAGTATATAATCTTGGATTGATAAAAAGAATACAAAAAATCAAGTCTATTTAAAAAGCAAGAATAAAATAATAATATAAAATCCTTTACTTATTATTTATATAAACAAGAAGAATACTTTTTATATGATTATAAAGATCTCTTATTTATATAAGTTCTAATTTGTAAATACTATAAAGCCTAGTAATAAAAAGCAATATTTAAAAAAATAATTAAAATATTATTTTTTAAGAAGAATAATTAAGTTTATTTTGTAGATAGCAAAAGTCTTTTAATTGATTTCGATTTATTAAAAAGTAAAGAAGAATCTGATAATAAAGAATACCATATATCTAAAAAGCTTATTTATAAGATTATCTCTTCTTATTGATATACAGATATTAATGCTTTCTTACATATATCTAACCAACTTTCTTTTTTTAGAAATATCAAGAAAATAAAGAGAAAGATGATAAAAGTCGGTGGGGAAATTATATACTATAATTGAATAGATATTGCTGTAATGGAGCTAGAAAATGGGGGTATGGTTTTATTTTCAAAAACATTATATATATTAGGATTAAAAGTTAATCTCTTTTCTGATAAGAAGATCTGTAAAGCTGGATTCAAGGGCAGATTCAATTCAGATTATATATACTTTCAAAAGAATGAAATAAATATTATCAAAGCAAAAATAGATAGAGGAATTTATATAATCTCGAATATCACAAAAGGATACAAAGATATCGCTCTATTGAATACAGAGATTATTAATAATATTAAGCTAAATAAGATTATTCTAGATATCTCTTCAAACAAAATCAAAAAGAATTTAGAAATTTATCTATTATAACATAAACGATTTAATCATCTTGATTCAAAGAAAATACAGAATCTTTATAAAATTATTATATTAAAAAAGCTAATCAAAGTTTTATTTAAGATTTTTATATACAAAGTTTGTATACTTATCAAAATGAAAAACCTAATCCCAAAACAACTCAGTCCTCATAAAACAAAAAGACTAAAGCTTATTCACTTTGATATCACTAGTCTATTCCTAAGATTATTACAAGAAAACCACTATTTCCTATTAATTATAGATAACTGGATAAGAATAAATTGGATTTTGATCTTAAAAACAAAAAATAAAGTTATATCAAGATTAAAGAAATAGAAAATCGAATTGGAATTCGGTATTGGTAACAAGATAGTAGCTACTCGGACTGATAATGCACCAAAGCTAATCCAAGTTGTTAAAGAATGAAACTCTGGGATCCAATTAGAATTAACAATTATAGTATTATTTTATTAGAACGGAACTACTAAGAGAAACATTGATATTACTAAAACCGATATAAGAACTATACTAAAGGAATCCAGATTGCCACTGGAATTCTGGGATGAAACTATTGAATATAATATATACTACAAAAACAGAATAAATACTAAATCGATTATCGATAATAATATAATCAGTTTAATCGAAGTATTCATAGAATCAATTCTGGATATTAGTTATTATAGAATATAAAGAAGTAAATATTATATATATATCAATCTAAAAACAATCCTAAAGGATCAATAATATAACAAGTTATGAGATATAGCTTGAGAAGGTATCTTTATAGGATATTTAGTTATAATTAATAAACATATTAGAGTGTATTTATTAGAATTAGATTATACTATATAAATAAGCCAAATGATTATAAATGAATTCAAAAAGGGAGGAGATTTAGATTTGAAAATAAAGAATTCAGTATTAGATCCTCAAAGTATAGAAAATATTATTTCTAATAAAAGACCTAGAGATAGATTTTACAAAATATAAAAGAAACCAGAATGCTTATCTAATTTATTACAAGATATTGCTATCCCTAAGACCCCAAAAATAATAATCCCTAGTATATTTAAGATAAACAATATTCA